AATTTAACAAGTACTAGGGTTACCGTGGTTCACCATCGGAAGGAAAGGAAACGATGTAAATTGTTTCAATACGACACCACATCAAGATATGCAACAGAAGTACCCTTAATCACCGCTAGGGGCCAAACCCTTCACCGTTCGGACAGTACACCAAGTCACCGCTAGGTGTCGTTGCAATCGATTTAGTTATCCAACCGTTGTGTGTTTATTTATATATCATTTAAATTAAATAAAACACAACAAAAAACTTATCTCTAAGCAAATGAAAAAATCTACACAAACTGTTCGTACAATATACTGTAGGTTTATTCGATTTAAAGTCATGTTAGTTATTAAAAAAACCTCCGATTTCGTTGACTCTCGCAACGATTTGTGGTTGGCTAATACATGACTTCCCCAACTGGCCACTATAAATGCACCATGTTTTGAGATTTGGAGTAAATCAATTTTTAAAAAGCCGAGAGTCGTATCTCTATCGGAGAGCGATGATTGGCTTATAAGCTTAATACTTGTTTCAAATAATAAAAGACACTTAACACTGACAGTGCAATCGAAGTGGTTAAATCTCCTAGGCTGATTTGCATGGTTGAGATGGGCGAGTGGCGAGTGTATTACGCGTGCGGCCAGAGAGGTAGCTTTGTTTAAAGCCTATTACGTAAATGTAGTAAATGAATGTACCGTTCTCCAGCTGACTTTACGTGCTTTACCTGTCCTATTTAGTCAACAATGATATTCTGGTCTAAAAGAGTATAGAATAGAGACGCTTAGGCCTACTGTGTTGTGTGGCGAAAACACGTTTATACAATAATTTGTAAAATAATAAGATCATGGCTTTATTTGTATGAATGAATGGATGAAAGAATGAATGGATGACAAACAAATTTAATGATAGAGAAGAACGAAACAATCAAAAGCAAAAGTTACCGTATTAAATTTTAATTTTGTTAACATACATAAATTATGTAGAACTGCTAGATCTCAATGTTAACATAATTTATAAAAAACAATTAACTAAGGTATCCTAACATTTATTTATATGTCCACTAGCAATTAGATGGCTGCGAAGTGACTTAAGGAACTTATTTTATTTTAACATTCTAAAAAAAAATAAAAAATAAAATATCCAATTAGCGAAATATTTTTAAACATGAAAATGGGCGTACCATGTTCTGTTCTAAATTTTAATTCTACTCTTCATTGTCTTTATAAAGGATTTTTGCAATGTTGCTATTGGTTTTATGATTTTAATGTAAGATCCTCCTCATGTTTCTAATCCATATTTTATGTTTTAATTGTTTATTCCAAATAAGATAGTCATCATTAGTCGGCTAACAAACTTTCTTTGCCAATTATAATATTCTAATACTCAATAATTTTTTTTTTTCAATAATCATCACGTCCTACCAATTTGATTTTTACCAACTACCCATGAACCGAGGTGTTTAATTAATAGTACGTTTGACGATATAAACACATACATTATTTCACGCACACAGACAGGATTATTTATATTTATTATTAGAGGGTGCTGTAATGATGGTGTAGTGTTAACATTGGCTCTGTATAAGGCAAGGTCACTCCTCACACACCTGTTTTCTAAGCCAAGTGCACTGATGACGAATAATGCTTCATCTTATTTTGAAGTAATTTGCGATAGAGTAATCTATATATGTATATAATACGCTAAACCGAGTTTTGTAAACAGAACTCCTCTCTCATTTTTGGACCGATTTTAATGAGTAAAGTGTAAAAAAATGGCCCTGACCTGTAGTTTTGCAAAGTTTTTTCATTTTTTGAAACCTTTATTAGTTTGGGCAGGATCTTCCATCAAAGTTGGGTTTCCTCCCATAAGATTAACATGGGGGAATCTAAATATTTAATTGGAAACTTTGTCTCCACTAATTTGAGAGAACGGCTGGGCGTAGAAACTTGATAGAGTGGTCCAAAGTTTTAGTTAATTTAGTTGATTTCTTTTTTTTTAGGGTTACTAAATTATTTCTTCCCAGTAACCTTACACATAAATTAGATTTTTATTAGCTTAGTAAACTATTTTCATGGAGGTAATAAGTAAAATAATATTCATATTCTCTCCATGCTTTGAAATGTATTAAATAAAGTAAATCTTCCTCAACATTCCTCAAGAAAGTCATTAAGCTGGAAAACTGCAATATACTGCAGACTTTTCAGAGAGGCTACTTTGATGTATTCATTCAGCTTAGTGAAAACATAATATAGATATGTAGCCTATACAAATAAGAACTTGAACTCTTAGAAAGCCTTTGAATGTTATTAGACTAACGAAAAGGATTGTGCATGTTTACTAGCGCTACTCAGCAACAAAAACCATTTAATTTATCTCTAAAAAATATATCCTTAAAGTGCACTGAGCAGCATTCTAAAAAAACCTATGTAACTTCCATGTTGTTACAAAATGCTCAAACTCGCATTGTGACATTTATAATTCGGCTTATATTTCTCCAACAGATAATTCATCTGCATAAGAATGTTATTGTGCTCTTATCGTGTCTAATAACATCCAAACACAGAAACCTTGCCTAAAATGGTACCTATCTTGACAAATTATTTGCAGTGGCCTATATTACCGACCGTGGCCTATATTACCGACCGTGGCCTATATTACCGACCGTGGCCTATATTACCGACCGTGGCCCACTGGGTTGGTAACATTATTGAAAATAACACGACATTTTGGCTGTAAAAATGGCCCATTGAGTAAATACTATTTAAGCAGCTACTGTCATGACAGAAAGGTCATATTCCTTTTAAACTAGATCACATCTTTTATAAGATACGTTGATTAACAATGCATGTAAACGTCAATATTTACGTAACAGCCAATTTACAGTATTTTTTGCAATTTGGAAATGCCACATTGCTATGTCATTTGCATTATTTTTTGCCAATGAACCGCACGACCATATAAATGAGGAGTCCCCTAACAGTTCAAGAATTAAAGCCAACTTCACTTCAAGTATATTCCACTACACCTACCATTCCGTAGAGAGATTATATTGACAACTTTATGTAATTGATTAGGCTGAGACAATTAACTGCAATCACCCATGTCAAGGAATTCCAGCTTTAACAGTAACCCCACAACCAATTTCTAAAAACTGTGCTAGAGGGTTATTCATTGGCACAGAAGTACGATATGAACTGACGCAATGTGACGAAGGAAAAATCAAACCACTGTAATGGATATACCTCCCTTTGAAGATAGAACGTGTCTTCCCAATAAACAGATATTTTTTTCTTAAATCAAATCATAGATTAATCTGCATTACACTGATGAAATCACGGAAGTGTTTAACTACAAAAGATCCACCAATACGATTTTAATACTATTTAAAGGTTCTTCCAAAGGAAGAGATACCAGATAACATACTAATAATAACTCCGATGACGTAAAGGTATGGGAAATATTTTATTCATTGAATGATCAACCATATTTGGAATTTACACTTAATACTCTTAAACAATGCTAAATGTTTCACCTAGTAAATAATAAAACTTAAGACAGGAAGGACTGCCTCAGTTTTGACCTCAGCAGACACCACTTTCCTGTTCTACTTGGACCTTATGACTATGCTCCCATCCACCACCACCCACGTTCATTGATGGAATCAAGGTACACCAGCAGATGTCTTATCAGATGCTTACTAGCCAATGTATACAACCCCTACTTAAAAGACAACAAATAAACAAATTTATAATTATATCTATTGAAAGCTTACAGTTTGAAGCAGTTTTTATAGCATTTGCTACTATCATGCATTTTTCTTTTAAAATTTGTATGTAAGATTGTTTTTCCTTTTTTGAAGAACATTACTATTTTTCAGTTCTAATCTTTTTAAATAATGTTTCTGATACTTGAGATTCATCTAAAACTATCCATTCTTACTCAAAATTTAATGTAGAATGCAATGGTAGTGTTGGAGTTAAATATTAATTTTTGTAAACCCCCAAATTTGGATTTTGCTAAATAAACAGGTTTTTTAAATAATCAAAATATTGTTTTGTGTGATTTAGAATTTTTTTAAATTTATATTTGAGTCACATTAATTTGGGTTTGTGTACCACCCTAAAAACGTTTAACACTATGTCAAAACCAACCTGTATAAACAGAAATGCAACCATCACATACGAGGGCTATCCAGAAAGTAAGGAACATTTCGTTCTGACGCCACTAGGTGCGTGCTGATCTCGTACATTTTACTGAGTACGCATGCGGCAACTCAGTCGGCGTTCAGCCAAGACAATGGGATCATCCTCCCGCTGCCCGTTTTTTCACAAATTCAACTTTAGTTGTGCCCTGCGATTGAAAATCCCGCCAGTTGTGAGGGGCTCATTGATACATCTTTTGTTGGCAAAAAGCTTAAAACCGGTAGACATTTATAGCCAAGTGTGTGAAGTTTAAGGAAACAACGTAACTGCCGATTCACGATAATGGATCTTTCACTTTGTTGTGTGACAATATCAAACAACAAAGTCTTTGAATCTTGAGGAAAATAAAGCGAAAGCTCTAGCGGTTTTTGCGAACCTTTTCATCAACTTTAGCGACTAGTTCCATCAGTCACAATGCTCAGGCGTCCGCCCTTCGTTTCATCATGACCCATGAGCGTCAGTTCGGCCATTTTAAAACTGAATGCACCATTTTCCACAGAACATTCGTTCATTACGTTGTTTCCTTAATCTTCACAGACTTGGCGATAAATGTCTATCAGTAAGTTTTTTGCCAACAAAAACTGTATCAATGTCTCCGCACCTCACAACTGGTGGGATTTTCAACCGCAGGGCAAATATTAAGTTGAAATTGTGAAAAAACGGGCAGCGCGAGGATGTTCCAGCTGTCACGGCTGGACGCCGACTGAGTTGCTGAGTGCGCATGCACCAAAATGTACGAGATCGCCTAGCGGCATCAGAACGATCCGTTCCTTACTTTCTGGATAGCCCTCCTACTTTCGCAAGAACTAAAGAAACTAAATAGAATACCAACTTACCTTTCTTTCTAAGTTTTAAATGGGTCCTAGGAAAAACTAACTGTATAAACTTGCAGCATTTTGTGAGTTAGATAAAAAGCATCTCTTTGTTGAAATAGTTTAATATTAAATTGTATATACATCAGGCTTTACAAATCTATTAAGGATCAAAATTATGAACATTATTTATACATATTTTACATTCACAATTGATATTTAAAATCTAATGAGTTCAAATAATATATTTATCTACAACTTAATGATTTGGTGAATTAATTAAATAAGGGTATAATCACAAACCTGAATTTACTTACAAAGGGCAGTTTGCACTAGTATCAAATTATATGAATCATCTTAGGCAAAATATGTTTAAAATTAACTCCAATTTGGGTGCCACGAGCAGCGTTTAAAAATTCTTTTCCCCTTATTATATTTATAAATACTGAAATTCTCTTGAGAATTCAAGTTAAATTGTGCTTTTTAGTAAACATAAAACTTTTTTTTACTTTCCATCACACAAATTAAATTTCAGTCCCCAATCACAAATAAATATTTTTATGACTAAATCTGTATATCAAAATTTCCATAAATGGTAGCAGGATATTTGTATTCTTTAGATAAGAAAGCTTCAGTGAAAACAACTGAAGTTTTTAGTTAAACCCTAATTGTGCTTATTTAAGGCTTAGTTTTAAGTTGCACACCTGCCCTTTAACAATGGTTTTGTATTAGTTGAACTCTTTATAACATTACATATGTACTGATTAAAACTAAAAAAATTGATTCAATTTAATAGTCAATAAGTTAAAAACTTAGAACCTGGATTAATGTCTGGTTAGTTTAAAGAAGTTAATTCACAGAGATTAGACTCTCTTGAACATAAGATGTTTTCTATTTAACAAAAACAAGTCACTATAAGATTGGTGCATGTACTGTACTAAGAAAATCATAACTCAAATTACATTAAACTCACTCAGAGCCCATAAAACACACAACCACATTGATAAACTTAGAGAACATTTATTTCTGCCTAAAACACTAATTTGGCACTAACCAAATATGTCAATACTTTATTTTCTTGGATAAATCGACACTAGTTCATTAAAGCTAATTTCCTGACATCTCATATTCAAGATTTTTAACAGATGGCTTGAAATAGTTAACTTTGTTAATACAGTATTTATATCAAACGTTAGTCAAGTGACAACAATTCATACAACCATTTATATAATAATTATATAACAAACAATTTAAACTATTTTACACAAATCTAATTTTGAATGTGAACGTAACATTCGCTTTGACATTTACAATACAATTTCTGTACCAAACAGTGAATTTATAACATTAGAACAACTCAAGTTTAACACATAACATACATCTCCAATCAATGGCAGAACTGTGTGAATAATAAAAAAAAAAATGTATGCACAGTTATGACTGGAATTTCTCAATTCCTTTTAACTTAAGTTTACTTGTGGTCCAAGTAATTAAAAAACTTGTTTTTTCCATTTTATTGTTACCTTCAAACTAAATAAAAATTGTTAACAACCAAATTTATTTGCACTTTACTACTTTTTCTAGGCCTTTATGAGCAAAATATTTTCGTTCTGAAGAATAGGCCTGAATAAAAAAATCTCCAACATCATGAGTGTGGTTAAATAACTTCTTGATCAGCATTGTACGTGTTATTAAATTTACGGAAAATAAATAAAGAAACGTCTTATAACACTTAAAACATATATTTACACTTATAGCCTACTGTTATTCACAAGACGGTAAATATACAAAAAAGGTGGCAAGTGGTGATCGATTTCGATTGGACACTCCAATCATCATCAGAGTAACAGTTTAAGCGTAAATATATGTTTTAAGTGTTATAGGATGTATCTTTATTTACTTTCCGTGTGGTTAAATATCATGTACATTTTAAATACCTTTTAACGAAATATGATATGTTTCATATTCATTTCACGCTCAGGGTTCAGAAATGTCTCAGGGCTCCCATAAATTTGATCTTGAATGAAAGGATGACATTTAGATGGTTTGAAAAACTTTGAATTCTTTATTTAAGAATATAAATTTGAACATTTCACAATACTTCTATCATGATAAACCAAACTATAAGCCCTAGTTTTAATTTGAACATTGCCAAAAACACCCAGGGAAATCCGGATAAACCACCAACAATTGCTAGCCATACAATATTTATGATGATGGATCACAGCTTTTACAATATTTTCTTCAATACTGAACTTTTTTATCCACACCAACTACTATCACTATTTTAACTGAGTTCACACATTTTAATGACCTCACTATATGTGAAAGTCATATTTACTACAGTAAAACATTGGGAAGGCAAATGTTTGGCTAATTATATTACACCTGAAATAGGAGAATCTTCAAGTTGGAATACCTTAAGAATCAAAACTTTTCTTTCTCTAAATACTAATTGGATTCTCAAATCCTATAAAGACTAGATCTACTTCTTGGATTGAAATAATAAAGTGGAATGTGATGCAGTCTTAGATTTCTTTTGAATTACAACAGCACGTAATAGTATTTGCACTTTTCCAAGTATTTTTGATAGAGCAATCGTTAAAAACTCATAGACCCTCAAGAAATATGTCAGCTGGTGCATATAGGTTGCAGGGGTTAAGTGAGTAGTGATTTAAAATAAACCAATTCAGGTAAAAAAATATTCACTAAAAACATTATCACAAGAATATTATTTTGTGTTCCTTGATACGATTAACTTTCCTACTCAACCGATAAAAATATCCCATGCATACAATGGTTGCTAACTCAGGTGTTTGGAAACTAGTATGATTGAAACTCAAAAATGAAATAACAAAATACTATTTTGTAGGTTATTCTTTTTAAATATACTGCATAAAGTAACAAGATCTGAAATATAATCTTATTACCACTATAATTTCTTTTATGAAGTTGATGGTAAATTTTCAACAATTATTTAGGCTACTTGACTTGGTTTAAGACACACTGTACATTTGTTGGAGCAAGTATTCAATTGTTATTAGAAAACTCTTAAATATTCAATGTTAAGTTTAATAAATTCTTCAAGAACTACGACTATTTAGAACGAATGGTCCTGTTTGGTGCGTGGCTGCGGGGATGTGGGTGTTCGCAACGTAGGAGTAGTGCTTTTGGCACGGCGATGTTTTAGAGACGTATATGGAGAGCTGCCCCTTGAGAAATGTTCTTGGGCATACAGCAAGACTCCTATGTCCCGGTTCCCTGCCTCCATAGCGATATTCAGTGCTGTTTGCCCGTCCTAAACAAATAAACAAAATAAGCTATTTGCTGATGCTGTAGTATTCTTGATTGCCTCAAATGATGATGCCTAGACAACCAAACGTAGCTGATATCTGATAATATACCGTACTATTTAGTTTGACATTTTCCTAGAGTCTATGCTAAAGGCATTTCCCCATTCTCCCCCAAACAAACACATCTGAAGTCTACTGGAGACTGCATGTAATGATCCAATGAGACAATGTAGCCATAGGGAAAGGAGCAGGTGGCATTGTCAGTATTGCTTGATAAAAACGTGGCACAGTAAAATGCTAACAATTTAATATCCTAAATCTATCCAACAGGTAATCTTGAATACAATAATAGACTTCGTTAATAAAATTTTATTTTTTTATCTCAGGGCTTTAGGAGAGATTATTATTTAGTTTTACCTAAATATTGAAGTTAAATTGAAGTATCACCTCACCTTATATACTTTATTAAGAATTACAATATATAAAAGCCACAGAGATTTATTTTGGGCGAATTGAGCTGTGTAAAACCCTTCAAAGCTTATCTGTATTAAACTATATTATTTGGAATGAACTGTGAATTACATATTTCACTGTTAAACTTTCGTGACTAGTATCGTGATAATTTCTACACTTTGTGACTTTCGATTTGTGGTGACACCTTTATCATCTACCGCAATCATAGTGATTGGTGACACAACATAATGGTCATCTGCTTCTGCGATCGCGATGACATTGTGAACTTTCAATCCTGCAAACTTAACATGTGGCTAAAGCAATCGCTTTAATATCTTGAGATTCCCGCCTAGAAAAAAATTTTGAAATTATTAAAAGATAAAGAAAATCTATGAGTCCGTATAACCAATAATATACTTGAAGAGGGATACAAGTTTGGCATATTTCGCCACTTACATGGAAAACTGAGATGGTCACTAATTATTTTATTATTTTCTACAAACTAAAATGTTATTTCTCTTCAGATGAGTCTGATGTCGCTCCCAGCTTTGACATCACAAAAGAGGAATATAATCCCTGCACAAAATATAAGGAATGAAACATGGGGCATATGGCGCACTATATCACAACGGTCTCATGGCTCATCTTGCTAGGTCACGCACAGTCAGTCTTAAGGGTTTGTGATTTTTGCTGTCGATGTATTTTTTTCTGTCGGTTGTGCAACTTTAGTTATCCAACTAAAACAGCCTAATGATCTTCCGTGATTGCGGCGATATAGGGAATATTTGATCACTAGTGTCTAGTAGGTATCATAAGTTACTCAGGGATCGGAACCACATCCGATCTGACTGGAGTCCATTGACTACACGCGAAAACATTCAAATCATTACTGCGGTATCCCTACACAGCACTGTTTGTCTCTGGCTCAAGACCATTGACCCTTTTAAACGTCACAAAATATGTTCAAGTATTATATACTTTGCGTATGTCTTTCTCGATCGTAATATTAGCGTGATAGGTATTCTTGTTTAATAAATATCCCTCAATTACTCAAATACTGCCTGAAAAACAGGAATAACAATTTCCTGATTTGGGCTTATAACATCCTTAGCTTAAAACTTCAAAATGTACTCAGGTATGCTTATACCTGCTGACCATTCGGTTCCGGTTTGGGTACCTGCAGACCCCAAAAAGCAAGGAAAACATTTTGAAAGTGTTTAGTGTTAACTCACGTAATCTCTGATGGTAAGGTCACAGTCAGGCTGAGCAAGCAACAGTTTGACAATTTCAACATGGTGATGTTCGGCAGCACACATGAGTGCAGTACTCCCATCCTCATCTTGTATGTTCATATCTGCTCCACACTCCAGTAGTAGTTGAACCATGTCCAATCTGCCATGAGACACTGCCAGCATCAGCGCTGTTTGCCCATGCTGCAATCAAATCATACAAAATCCTGAATATCTCCCTCAGTAACGGAAACATTGACACTGTCTTGTGTGGTTGTGACAAAATCCTGATATTGTTCAGGGGTAACTGAAACATTATAAAAGTCTCCCGCAATCACAGAAAAGTTATCATCATCTTCTACGATTGTAGCTTAATTCTAATAATTTCTGTCATCATCGTCAATCAATAGTTTTTGAGATCATCATCGTTTCCCGTCGTCACAAAAACGTCATCGTCCGCATGCGTGATTGCGGCAAAATCACTAACATATTCCGCGGCCGTTTGGACATCATCATTGTCTCATGCAGTACCGGAAACGTCATCGTCGTCTCCCGCAATCACGGAAACGTTGTCGTCTGCCATGATCATGGAAACGTCATCTTCATCTCCCACGGTCACGCAAACGTCATAGCCTATTCATGCACGATTGCGGCAAATTGAAGATTCCCGGTAAAATACAAAATTCTCGCATAATTCCCGGTTAAAAAAAAATCACGCATTTCGCATCCCGGTTTTCCAGGTCGGTGGACACCCTGATAGAGGACTAGCTCTTGTTAGTAGCTAGTGTTAGTAGTTGTTAGGTAGAGATAGAGGACTCTTTTTGTTGTTATAAAGAAATATGAGAACTCTGAATCAATTTGTAACTGAAACATTATTTAGGAAATCCTTAGCTTTGAGTTACAAATTTACATGTTTTAATGTACTCGGTATTATTTAAACTCAGAATTATAAACCTTATCAATCACAACTAACCTGTTTTGCTCTTATATTGACATCTGCCATCTGGAACAGTCTCTTTATGACTTGTCGATGAGTTTCCGACCGTACTTGGGCAAGAGACACCAACATGATACAAGTGTAGCCGGCTGCATTTGTTTGGTTGATATTGCACACTTTGGAGTCCAGTAAAATGGAAACAACGTCAAAGTTCCCGTGAGAAACTGCATAGTGCATTGCTGTATTCCCCTGTAAAAGTATATATTGTTAGTACAACACTAATAATTATATTAAATGCAAAGAATACTTAATCAATCTAAGATTGAGATAATGTTTCCATTTGATAAAGAATTTTAAACATTCCTCTTGAACTAAAATGTATGACTATCAGTATTTAGTAGTAAACCAAATTTAACAATAACAAAGATCCATGTTCAATAATTTAAAATTTGCGACAGTGCACTTAAAACAAAACGTATAGCTGATCTTAAGTAGTAGGTAATGGACAACAAACCTGAGGGCTACTAAGACGACTCACACTCCGTTTTAAATTGTTTAAGGTACAGTGTTTAGCAACAATATTTTCTAGGCCCTACAAATTTACACTTTTGAATAAATTTAATGTTGACATTTTTTGACGCTTTGTGTACATTTTTTTAGGGACAGGGTACATTTTTTATAAATATTCATTGTATATAAATATTTATTTTAGTATAATAAATTGAATAAAACTGGTTTTGAAATATTAACCGATTATTAAAGACAGGGATTGTGTAGTATAACTACTGTAATTCATACAGACAGTTTAGTAAATAAAAAAAATAGTATCCTATTGTTACTGAGAATATATTTATAAAGGAACAAAATCGGTATCGAGATTCAATAAATTATGGTATCGACACATCACTAAAATCACAGAAAACATACTACTATAACCCAGAATGTTAACCGCATGGTAAAAGGCGTTAAGTACTCGGAGAGAGCTTTGCCTGTCAATTCGTAGGTAGCGCCACCACTCAGCATAGCTACGCTGGTGGCACTGCCTACGAATTGATAGGCAAAGCTCTCTCCGAGTACTTAACGCTTTTTACCATGCGGTTAACATTCTGGGTTATAGTAGTATGTTTTCTGAGCTAAAATGGAAGCAGAACAAAGTAAAATCGATCGAGACATCCAAAGTGACATCATCACGTTTGGGCTGACCATTTGTCTGCTCCTAATATCTGTCTGCTGTCCGCTATGTCCAGGGTTGCCACCCGTCCTGATTCTGTTGGGACAGTCCCCATTTTGTTTTCTTGGGCCTGTATTAGCGAATTTCCCATATAAGGGAATAAGCTATTACCGTAGTAATCATGGTAAGACCTGGACCCGGGACCGATTTGCTTTTTCGTTTTGAGGTCCCTAGAGGCCAAAAACGCCATCCGTTCAAATTCATGTATATATATGTGTGTGTCAGTTAGCACGATTACTCAAGCAAAAATATTCCGATTTTGATGAAATTTTGTACAAATGTGTAAACCTACATTTATTTGAACGAGTTTGTGAACCAGCATGATCGGACGATGGAAACGGGAATTTATGGGGGGTTTTATGTGGTAAAAATTGGTTTTTCCCATTTTGACCTTAAAAACAAAAAATGTTGCAATTTATTTCGAAACCATTTTGTAGAGCTAAAAAAAACAAACAATTTAGTATATTGAAGTGTTGTTATGAGCCTAATAATCACGGAGAAAATTCCAAAAAGTTGTAAAAATGCAAATAAAGACATTAATGTATATTTATTTACACTGTATTAGTGTTTTATGGGTTTGCTGCATTTTTAAACTTATCAACCTTAAAATTGATTCATTAAGTACTTGAACTATCAACTATCCGACACAAACTGAAATTTTACTATCCTCACACCTCTTTAATCAACAGTATTTAATACAACAATAGATTAATTAAATGTTCAATATGCCTACATTGGCATGTTTTCTGTTATTTCCTGTGATTTAGAACAGTGTTGTTATACTTACACTAACATCAGTCATATTAACAACATATTCCAGAAGTCTACTTGAAATTTCTTCAAGACAATCTAAATAGTCTTCAACATCTAGCGGGTTCGCATTAGCAGTGCTTGATATCTGTAATAAATAATACAATAACACATTAATACATACATGAACACAGGTACAGTACATAGCTACTAAATAAAATACAACAGAAGCGTTTTATTATTCTTCCATAAAATCGCTCAATGTGTGAGTTACTCAACTTTAACATGATCACTGCACACCCAGACTTTAGTCGGTACACCAGAGCTGCCGTGTGGCGCGCTCCGACAATAAAACGATCAAAAATACATTGGGTCACTGTAAGCCTAGCCATTGACGTAGGTAGCTGTTACTGTGAGCGCCGCCTGGTTAATTCGCTATCTTTTTCACACATGTATTTCCATATGAGTTTATGTAGGTTTTGTTTAGGAATCAAACACCAAGGGGGCTTAAAAAGCCATAAGAGACAGCAGGCACTTATTGTTTAGCATTGAACGTGAGGAGGAGAAACTCATGTCCATTTATAAATTATATTATATACCATATTATAATTATTATATTATATATTATATTTATGTTTATTTATATTTATTTATGTCCAGGGGTAAAAATACTAAGATTTACCTGAGGCAAGGCTTGCAAAAACACAAGAATCCTTCTCTTATCTTGTTGGTAAAGCCTACTAAATTATTCAAAAGGCTACCTCATGACATTCAACATGTTATCATGAAGTCTTTTGAATCTAGTTTGCCAATCCGTTTTATAGTTTGGAAGAATATTTGAAATGTTCTATCTTTACAGTAGAACCTCTAATATCCGGCCTCGGTATTTCTGGTCCTTGTTTTATCCGGTCACTTCCCGAAATCGATACCAAAAATATTTCCCACGGCTGTACACGTATTCTCCATGATTTGAGCGTTCTCACGGTTTATCTGTTTCCTGTTCATATACATTTTTAGCAAGTTCACTACACAGTTGAGCTTGTTGATTCTAAAAAGAGACTTAAAAACTACTTTTAACCAATCAAAAGTTGTTATTAGATACAAATTATCGTTTTAGTAATAGGTTGGTTAATTCGGCCAAGGGCTCGTTCCCTCGTATGCCGGATATGAGGGGTTTTCCTTTAAAATAAGTTTTAATAACTATTGATTTGGGCTATTATTGTTCTAATCTTCAAGAAGAACTGATGATACTGGGTTGGATAAAATTTAAAATGAAAACATCACCAATGAATTTCTTTCAATCATAACATTTTTTTTTAATTTATTAAATTATTGGTGATGTTTAAATAAAGATATTTTGAATTGAATTGAATTGAATTGTTTTCATTTTAAGTGTTCTTATTATTCTTCTGTTGAATTTACACCTTGTTGCCTTCTTTAATGTTATATGGTACGATATTGTTGATCCTTAGATATACGTTTCATCCCTCTTTATTTCTCTTTTTGGTCTTAGTATCATGATGTCAATTGCACTAGACATGTTATATTCCTTATTGAAATAAATCTTTCAATTTTTGAGAGCTATTCATGATTCCGACACGATCACGGAGACATTGATGAGTACATCGAGCACACACACACACACACACACACACACACACACACACTGAGGTCAGTACATACAACGTCTTCATTTGTCTCGTCTCTGGTTCAGTGGGTGACACACTACCTATCACAAGAGTGCTGACTATTTTGGTTAGTTACAATGAGTGTAAATTAGATAGAGTGGACAAGCAAAAAAACACTTTTTAAGAGTTTTTTTTGTGTGAAAAAAGTCCTTCAGAGTCCAGTTGCACAAAAAGTCATCATTAAGATGTTTACAAACCACCAAACCAGTATAGCTCATGGAGCAAGAATGAAATGGATTGGTGGACATTAAAATAAACTTGTGGCATTATATTTGTAACTATAATAATTCAATCATTAGTTAAAAAGTGTGTACTGTTTTAAAATTACTAAAAAAATTCATTACTCTTACAATTTGGCAATGTAAATAAAATTTCAACAACAAAATTCTCATTTATTTTAGTTTCCTTCTTCAATACTGAGCATTGGAGAACGCTTTTGCTCGACGCCCTAATCGACTGCGTACTTTGCATACCGCCTAAACCGGCCCTGATTCGTGTGTTTACAGTTGCAAGTGTCATTTTTCAGAGCTTGAGACCGCGAAGAGTCAGCCGAGTGTTTAATCTGCACGGTTATTACTCCATGTTTTATTGTTTTCCTAATTTTTTTTTGTGGTATGGTATGTATTCTTTTTTATAGAAAAAATACCTATAAAATAAAAAGCTGCCATGACTTTAACATCTATTTAAGCATCACTGAACATTTTACCACTTGAGGTGTTTGGCACTATATATTTGCAATTTGGCAAACATGGGCAAGCAGGTAATGGGAGAGCTCGTTGTTCACATTTGACAGCATTCGCTATTGCGACTCCTGCCGAACATTCTCCACAATGGTGTACTGTTAGCATAAAGGAAGTTCAAGATTTTTCCACGATGATAACGAATATGAAAACGATTTCGGGACCGTAGCAGATGTTTCAAGATTAAGCTGAGATCAATTGAGACAATGATGATGTCATCGGGATCGAGGGGGATGATCAAGATTTTGTAGCTATCAAGAATTATATTCATGATGAAACAGTATTAAATGCACACCAAACAAAATTCATGGATATCAAGACCTAATGCTGCTTTTCTATTGACAACTATACTAGAAATGTGTAAAAGCATTACATAGTCATGATGGGTGTTTAAGAACAAGCATTAATTAATTTTATTGTTGTTTCCAGTAATACTGCATACATTTCCCATAATTTATTAGTGAAACTAAAGTTTAACCAGAAATAATCTCTGCAACAACATAAATCTACCATCACCAATACTATTACCATAGCTTAAAGCCGGGTTTTCCTAGGCGCGTAGTCGGCCAGCGGAGAGAGGAACGCGGAGAGCGGACTCAGCTGGTCTTAGGTAATTTAATGTTACTGTTTTCCTAGCAGCGGAGCGGAATGCCATGTTAATTTCAATTCCGCTCTCCGTTGTCCGCTCTCCGCTGGCCGACTCCGCGTCTAGGAAAACCCAGCTTTAAAAACCTTTTGCCAATAAAATGATTATTAATAAAGAAAATAAAGAATAAAGAAAATGATAATTTATAAGTGGATGGTAAATTTGTCTATTTAAAACCAAAAATAACCAAACACCAGCAATGGGAATATTAAAAACTGAACCTATAAAAATGTCAATCGACACATCAATATATAACCATGGTTAGTGATAGGCGAAGGTGAAGTGTTTTTACCTTAAACCATTCCTGCTGAATTATATTTATTGCATTTTTCATCTGAGGAGGAAGGTTTCCTGACGGTGATTTCGCTAGAGCATCATTGAGGACTTTCATTGCTGCTCTCATCTCTTTAGAAGGCTCGACTCTTGGGGGAAAAAATCAAGTTGATTAGTGACTTACAAATATTACAGGGCTTACAAACTATAAATGTGTCAATATGAACCTAAGAGTTGAGCTTCATAGCTTACATAGTTGTTCATTCACATAACGTCAATGATACATTTTATGTCTACACTAATTTGCACAAAGATGACTGTTTTAACTGGGAACATTTGAGGTTATCCAACCTGTTCCCACGAGAGATGGTTAAGAGAAGGTGTTTTTGTAGTCTTTCTAAGAGCCACAGTTCGATGAACTGGTAAATAATTTACTGGTGCAATACACCCATGTTACTTTGATCCATTTTATGTTAGTAAAAAACCCAATAAACATGCTGGGATTTATCAAGGATGAATTTTAAATATCATGAATACTAGCCTAGTACACAGTTTTGGTAAATTTCAGACATTGCCACTGCTATCGGCAATTGGGTAAGAGAGGCTTGTTGCAACTCCACTAGCCAATATTTCCTTGCAATTTATTGAGTTTTTGTTAAGTTTCACAAAGTATTCGATATATCCATTGCTACATCACGTTCGATGGTTTGGTCGTGGCATGGAATGTGTGGTTATTCTTCTGCTGACAAGAGTTGTCAGCACTCCGTGTGACGTGTGACCGAACCGAGCGTGTGGCAGTCAGTCAGGTTAGAAAAGTGCAAAGGTGTAGTATTGTGAACTTGAGGTAGCGTCTTTATGCTATATTTCCCTCCCCGCGGTTGTCCACACGGTCCTATTCAAATTCTTTTGTGTAATTTTGCAAACAATAAACTAAGTAGCCTTGGCATATTAAAACCTTGACTCGGCCTTACTTTATTGAATTTTTCGCCCACCCGGTGCATGGACATTGAAAATTACATTGATCATTGTATATGTTTTCACTCAGAGAATCTATTGAATTAACTTACTACCGTAAAGCCTTACACTGAAAAACAATGACATTTCAACCCTTTCAGGCCCACTGTCCTTTGTAGGGGACATGCCATTTATTAATTTATTGTGAAGGCCAGGTCATTGTTTAGTGCCTTAAAACCCACTGTCCTGTCAACAGGACACTTTGGCAACACACAAATATCAATCTCAGCTCATTCTGTTGGATTTTACTAAAGTTACAAAAAACATATGACGTCAGGGCACGGCCGCCACAGCAGTATCAATTTGGTGGCATGACATACACACTATATATTTGTTATACATTATTATAAATTCAACAATTATGAAAGGTTGGTACATTATTTTGTTCCTTAGCAACGTAGGAACAATAATATAACCGTATTTTGCCTCATCAATCACTAATAAAGTTGCTGGATATTTTTGTTTTTCGATGTCCCCTGAGAGGACAGCAGGCAAATGTTATAGTCTATCGTCCCATTACTCCACGGTGAGTTGTAATGGTTGTAATGCTTAGAACAGCTGGGTACAGTTTGTCAACAGTGATTTAGTGGTTTTTGTTAGAGGTTATAAAATGAGTTACAGAAAAGTGGAAGCTAACGATATTTTAGACCTAATTGAAAGTGGCAATGTGCCTGAACTTGAATATCTAAGTGATAGTGACAATGAGCAAGTAAATACTACAACAAAATATGAAGTGAATTTTGGTCATATTGGTTTTGAAATGGAAAGAGATAATTATTGTTGTTTACTAAATAAATTCATAACATTGTGTATCTGATTTTGTGTCCATTTTTCATTGGATCCCTAGTGTTTATCATGTCCACTTTGACATACGCCCAGTGTCCTCTAGAGGGGACATATATTTGAACAAAAAATGTTTAAATGAAAATTATTTCCATGTGTTCACTGTGATAAGCAAGTGGTAATGCACATAATAACAGCTTCTTACTGGAATGGTTGAACATTTTTATTACAAACTTAAAAAAAAAAAATTTAATATTTTTTGAAAATTTTGTTGTTTTGTTTTTATTTTAATGTTATTATTTTAATTTATAAGTATAATTAATTTATAAGTATATTTAATATAAGCCCAGTGTCCTCTACAGAGGACAAGCCTGTAAATTACAAAGAAAAAATAAAAATAATAAAAAAATGTTCAAAACATGTTTAGAGGACTTGCCTTTATTGATTTATGTCAATATATTAGTTTTTTCCCCAAAAAATCAAACTTGGGCCTCAAAGGGTTAAGGTTTAGGTTCTTGTAACTCGTACTTAGGAATAACACTAAAAAAATGAATGGCTGGTTTTAAATTTGCCCAACTGAAACATTCTTCACGTAGGAACTTTGTAGATGCCTAATGCCTTACACACAGACAAGCATGAATTTCACAGTTGGGGTTTAGTTGTGTAAAATATTGAATGACGCATCCAGAAGCTACTAGGCCTATCCTTGTCTAAATTATTTCTTGATAAACATTGTACGTGTTATTAAATTTACGGAAAGTAAATAAAAATACGTCTATTGACACCTTAAACATATTTACACTCATATGCCTACTGTTAACTCACAAGACAGTAAATATAAATTAAAGATAGTACCGTAAGTGGTGATAGATTTTGATTGGACACTCCAATCAAAATCAATCACCACATAAACCCTTTTATATAGCCTATAAGTGTAAATATATGATAGGCCTAGGTACAAGTGTTATTTAGATGATTTTTTTACTTTCCGTGTCCTTTTCTGTAGCTTCACTATATCCCCAAAGCAGAACCACGAGCGAAAGTACGACATTGTCGCAGAAAGAAGGCGAGGGCTAAAGAAAGCCAAGCCTACCATAAAAGACATTGAAATTGTTATTATTTATTTTTACAGGTAAAGTTAGGGCTAGCCTACATGGTCCTTTTTTAAGTTTCACTTGGCCTGTATAAGTTTCTACAGAAAATACTATATAACAAAATAGTGAAATCGTTTTTTTACAGAAAATATTTTCTGCAAAAAGTCTACAACTTTATTTTTTTAAGAAAAATTTTCCGTTCTGCAAAAAGTAACGTTACAAAACGTCATACAACATTACATAAACGAAAGCTGCGACGTCAATACTCGGTGCATCGATCGTGAGTAAGAACGCATAGAATAACCGAATTACTAAAGTGATTCAACGTAATAACAGTAGGCGTATTCTAACAGATACGAGCGTTAGAAAACCTATTTATTTCCAAATAGTCTTTAAAACTTCACACACGTGGTTCATTTACACACAATTTGGACCGTGTAAGCCTGCAGAAAATGTTTTGATTTTTCTAAGTCTGTTTCCGTTGTAGAAAGTTTTAAAACGTTCTGCTTTGGGGCACTATTTTTTTAATTTAATCATAAACAAAGTACTTACCTAAAATTTATGAAAAAGTTTGGTTGATTTCAAATTTACGAAACGTTAATAGTTAGAACTCAAATTGTTTTTAAATTTATTGCTTTACACAAAACTTTAAAGTTGTGATAGATAAATATTGGTGTTCCATAGAAATCTGTGTAGGCTACTCATCTTACTTTTTCCTCGGTTCACCCTGAATTGGTTGAAATAATGGTGGCTCAAAGACCCCATGATCGTTGGGAAGCCCAGCATCATACAAGTTTACATCGTCGGAACCATCATCTGAACTGCTACCACCTCTCTTAGCACAATATGGCCTTATTGAGCTTTGATCTTTTAACCTGAAATCATCGAACACTCCATGAGCAAATAAACAAAAATTAAATTTTAAACCAATGTAATTACTTGTTTTTCAAGCAGGGTTCAGACATCGATTATAGATTCAATCTCTCAAAGTCAATCGACAGGCTGTCCGATTTTCCTTATCAACTGTCAGCACATCATAAAATGTATCAATACAAGTAGGCCATCTAATAAAATGTTACATTATGTTATGTTGCCTGTGCTAGAACTTTCAATCCTACATGCTGTGTAACCATATGACAGACAACTGGAGGTTCACACAATGCATGGGGGGTTGAATTTAATCTATTCATTAAATACAGTAAGTTAGGCCTATAATAAATAATCTGATTGAAAGATAACCTGTCCAATTCATTGTCTCAAAGAATCTAAGATGGATGATTCATTATAGCCTATCATATATGTAGCTATAATATAACTTAAAATCAGTAGACTCCAAGTGTAAGTTTAATGTTGACGTATTTTTGTTTGGTACTGGTAGGTAGGCTATTGCAAATTAAGACTTAACGATAAAGGTATGATATTACTGTATCACTAAATCTTTGCTCCTAAAACAACATATTCTAAAAATACATTTTACATAGGCTAGCCTATGTATAAAACCTTTTCCACAATATGAGACGTGGCATAGTTTCTAGGCGTAAATAGGACAACAATTAATTAGGCCTACAGTTGGCCTATCACAATAGAAACCCAATTTGTGCACTAAGCCTATCCTACAGCATATAAAATTTGGTACCTGGACAACAGTAGGGTTTCTTAACTGGGCTACGCTAATACCGATTGAAAATATCGATAACTAAGGTAGAATAGTCCTAATATCTAAGTCATGATCTTTCTAATCCAGCCATGGTCACAGATTTTTATTGACCAACTAACTTATAAATAGATTCAAAAGATTAAAATTTATATCTTATCTCAATCAAAAAATGTCTAAAATAATACCTACTCGCTTTCATAACTTGAGTTCATAAAACTAACCTGTAAGATTCACGGTGCCAAACTGATTGTTCCTCCTGCATAGGCCTATTATGTTCAATCAACTAGTGTAATATTATTTCCTATCTTCTTAAAATGACTAGGCCTACACTGCCTATTTACAAAAAAAAGTAGACTATGTGTTGTCCTTAGTTCGGCGTTACTTCCGTTTTGTGATCACTGATGCACTTTAGATTAGAATCCAATGTACCATAGCAAAACTAGGTTTATTTTATTGTGAGGTATATGTCCATAATTTCACTACAGTAATGGTTATAATAATTTTATCTTTTGAGGCGACGAGGAAGTATAAAAAATAATAACAAACCACTCAATGAGTATATAGTCACGGGTGGGTGAAAGGTGGAAGAAAATATAATAACACAGGACACAGACTAGGGTAGATGGATATTCGTATTCTTGATGATGATGATAATGGTATGGTAAACACTAAACAGGTAGAGGTAAACAAGATGCGCGCGCGTGCGCGAACCAGCGGCTGCTAAACAGCTGTTCAGTCACACACAGTGACAGTACATTACAGCCAGATTTCACATAGCAAACTTCTATAAAGAACAAGGCTTATTTTTCACCATGGAGCTATAATTATCTGAAGGCAGGACTTTTTTAGAAATCTTGTGGTGATGATAAGATGTATGAAATTGCCTTAAACTTTGATTGAATTGCTAAATTGGTAAATTGCTTTAACTGATCACAATATTAATATTATTTAAATTTGGTATACCTGAGTACAAAACTTGTCAGCTTCCTAAATCCTAACCTCACTTAATTTGCCTGCAATGTTATCACATGCACATTGCACAATATGTATTACTATGTGTATGTTAATGTAATTTATTGTGATACGGTATTTTATATTTCATTGGGTAAAATATAATTTTAATTTACAGTATAAACTAAATTGATTCTATCAAAAGTTCTATACAATTCCAGTATATTTTCCTGCAATTTGCATAGTTAATTTTAAAATTTAATCGAATAAATTGTTTTTTAAAGAATAAGTTAGGCCTAGGCTTTATACTATATTTTACACATTTTTTCAGGAAGAAACAGAGTATTATTATTTTACATTTTTAGCCTAGGGATCTTATCTATATTTTAGAAATAAGCATTGTTTGTTGTAAAATTTTGCATATCAATTTTAATTATTTTGTTTGTTTGTAAAATGACTGTGAAATGAGCAGTGTAAACTTCAAACATTCGTGTAAATTTTCAAAGTAATTAAAAATTGTAAAAATATTATTTTTTATGAATCTTATACTATATTATATGTTATTTAATTTCCTATACAAATTTCAAGCTTCTTGTGTTTGTTTATAGAATGACTCATCATTGGCTGACCTTGAATTTTCAAATCAGCAAGACAGAGAAAACAAGAATTTGACTACCTACAACAGAACAAAAAATATTTCCACTGAGTTAGCAGGATAGATAACATCTTTAACTTTAAATCCATGCTTAATATAAGTCAATAAGTTAATTATTAGCTTTACAGGAGTTTTACCATACTGCTCTGTAAAATAAAAAATCATAAAAAATATGGAAGTCCTATTAAATTGCATAACCGACTGTAGAAGAAAACTGATAACTTCTTTGTTTGTCATCCGATTTAAACAAACAAGGTCTCATTTGATTTAGATTTAAATTATCTATCTTTTTGAGCTGAAAAACAATTTTCTTAATATTTACGGTTTTAGTGAAATTTGGCATTAAAGATTTTAAATGGCCGCCATACTGAAACGGCTTGTGGTATTGGAACTAAACCTTGTAAGCTCTTTTTACCTACCAAAATACACATTTATACCAATTTTGAAATTTCCATCTTGAAAAATGCCCAAGATATAAAATAATTCTTAAAAATCACAAACAGACCGCTATACGCTGTATTATGGTTTGTGTGTGAAAATTGTTTTGCGACAAAGTTAAATGTTTCTGACTGGAACCCTGACACCTCATAATGCCGAAATGTGAAAATTGTAGTGGAATATCACAAATTAACACTGTCAATGGAGGTGTATGTTACCTAGTTTTTACTAATGTTTTCAGGGGGCTGGAGGAAAACAAAGGTGCTGCAGGATAATGGCCCAATGTAAATTTTTGAGGAAATAAAGTATGTTTTTATTATTCTTCTAACTGCATTTAATCTCGTTCCTCATGAGCCTTCATGAAATATTTACAAAATTGGGATATTTCATTCAAAGACATAAAAAAAGAAAATACCATTATAAAAGGATTGAATTTATGTTCTTATTCAGCTTAATTCTTAAACGAAAGTTAACAACAATTTCCAGAAAGTGGTGTGTTTGAACACAGAAAACATACTACTATAACCCAGAATGCCAACCGCATGGTAAAAAGCATTAAGTGTTTTGATAAGTGATAAGTTTAAGTGCTTTGCCTGTCAATCGTAGACAGCGCCACCAGCGTTGCCATGCACTCAGCATAGTAATGCTGGTGGCGCTGTCTACGATTGACAGGCAAAGCTCTCTCAAAACACTTAATGCTTTTTACCATGCGGTTGGCATTCTGGGTTATAGTAGTATGTTTTCTGTGGTTTGAATCATCTATTGGTACTTTCCTGTTAAAGGTAACATTCATTATTATCGATGGAATTTTTGTTCAAAATCTCGATTAATACTTTGCTTTAATAGTCGTCATAGTCACCGGTCCGTACTGCTCCGCTCCTTGTTCCTTGGCATGCGATTTGCTCCGCGCCTTGAGAAAGTAGTTCCGTGTATTTTTGAAATTTGTAGTGGTTTCTGCGCCTTAAAACTGGTCTATGAATATATCAATTATAAAATGAAACTAATCTAAACCAATCTAACCAATTAAACTTGCTTATTATAAACAAATTCAGGTAGGGAATAAAAGGAATTGCAAAAAAAGTTGTTGTAATGAATTTACGGGCCAATACATCGAAATATTGAAGAAAATCATCGATGATAATGAATTTTCCCCTTAACAGGAAAGTAGCGATCTATTTTAAGGTTTTAACAACTTTTATGATTTTAGTATCATCACATAAAAACAGAGTACTCTGAAGATGTACTAGTGTTGTTGTTGTTGTGTTGTTTTACAGATTATCTTTTTTAAATTTGATGTTGCTGAAACTCAGCCATCTCTTAAAGAATAAACTGTGTACCACTATGCACATGTGTATGTTTATTTTTGTAAATTATAATATGTTTTAGAAACATTTTATGTTGAAATCATTTATAGATTTAAAATGGAATGAGATTTAATCATGTATATTGTCACATTTTAAATAAACATTAACTATAGGTGATTTCAACAATCCATATAAAATAAATATTTTACTATGTAAAAATATAATAAAAGATATATTTAATACAAGTTAATTTTCCATTTATATTATAGTTTTTAAAGTCATATCATTTAAATATTTATTGTGTATTAATAGAAAAAAATATATATTTAATTTAAGTAAATTTGTAATTAATATTTATTTAATATGCCTCATAATATATTAAATAGCTATATAATATGTATTTATACAAGAATAAAATATATAAAATAGGGAAAAGTGTTTCCTATAAATATATTTTAAATATATTAAATATAAATAACATTTTATTTAATATATTTTCATCTCTTATTTGTGCTACTAGGGTGTTAACAAATTATTGAGGAGCCTTGTTCAAGTACACACAAACTAGGAAAGCTATGCACAAACGGCCCCTACTTAAAAAAATACCCTCGCAATCAAAGTACACAATGCATACTTGGTAGGAACATTGATTTTCTCTAACATCGTTATTGGCTAGTACGACAAAACTAATTGTCTCATATAGGGTGGATAATGGCTACAAAAGTGGTAAGAACAAAACAAGGTGTCGTTGTTAGACTTGAAAAAAACTCACTAGGTCATCCCTTCTATTTTAAATTGGTAAATTATCAATATTACAATTATGTATGTTCAACAAATTAAAATATTGTTTTATACCTCTAAACCCTTCAAAGAAACATTGACATCCACTCACGAATCACTAGCCTTGGATTTTTTATTTTATTTTAGTTTACTTTGCAACACAAACGGTGAATATTTTTTAATGGGATCGGTCGGTCACTATGTATTCTTGAATCCCTTGCCTGATTTACTCTAACAGCTACAATAATTTACCTACTAGGTTCTACATATTTTTGTACATAGCTATGACTTACCAAGAGAGAGAATTTTTCGCCGATTCAATGGACTCAGGTGTGATGAATGATTTGGTGTATGTGTCTTGCCTCAATAACGTTGGCTTCTTAGTATTGGAGGATACAGTGGTAAGAGTGGAAGGCCTTGGGATCCTAGAAACTGAGTTTGTAGTCAATGTCGATGTCAAATCTCCTCTAGACTGGTTTAGAATATTCTTTGCTACTGTTTTTATTGTGTTGGAGCACTTATCACATATATTAACATTTTGCACTTGCTGTAAGGAATCACCCACAGCAGTATCAACGAGTTTTCTTTTTATAGTGTTGACACCTACATCCTTCAGTCGGCCAGCCAAGTCTGAAGTATCACAGGATTTGGTTGAATTGATCTTATGTGTTGTGCCACAAGCTATGGAACGGGTTCTTAGTTTTTTTAATGGAGATCTATCGCTGTAATCAAATGATTTACTTCTCCCAACGCTCATGGTAGCCAAGGATAGAGGTTTAATGTGACTGCCTCCATTTGTGAGGTTAGTTAAGCCATTAGCACACTTTTCACAGACAAAGTCCAAGGTATCATCTGATACACCTACTGTATGTGTCTCAGGACGAGCGATGGTTTGAGCATCTCTTGTTTTTACGACACAGTTAACTCCAAAGCTTCTGAATCTTACTTCTGGTACAGCTTGGACACCTCTGTCATTTTTCTCTATTATTTTTAATGTATCGGTGGTAGGAGAGGCTTGAATTCCAATACTGGAAACATTTTCAAGTCTGTTTTGTCTAATTTTACTGAGATAAGTTTTTTCAAACATTTTTATAGCTTTGTTGATATTTTTATCCAATTCGACATCAGAATAAATTTGGCTGTGTAACAAGTCTGTCACAGTTCCAGTATCTTTAAGTTCAGACTTTTTGATTATACTTTTAAGTGTTACCATGTCTTGAGTCAATGACTTACAACCCTCCGGAGGTATTGAGTCAGCTGGTAAGCTATTGACTCCGACATCCTTAGTGGCGCGTTGAGGTATTGGACTAACTGCAGTATCACGAGTAGCCACAGGAGGGGGTGAATGACTCACACCTACATCACGAGTCATCACAGGAGGCTCACAATGACTCACTCCAACATCTCGCATCATTGTAATGCACGAGACACTCACATCCCTCATCGAAGGTTTTCTAACAAGTGAAGTTTCATTTATGTGAGGTGTTTTAATGTCCAATCCTGAAATTGAAATAAAAAATGTTACTTACTTGTATTAAATAATAAGCAATGATACATAATTTTGATGTACTTTTATAATCATTCACAGCACTATTGTGGATTTTTGGAATTTTCGATACTATTTTACCATAGGGGGTGAATACTGTGAAGTAGTGAACTTTTATGTTTTCATGAATTAATTAATTGGTTCCAAAATAATGTCTTTAAGTATTAGAAGAACAGTGAAAATTCAAATTACTTTTATTTCCACATAATAAAAATAGAGGAACTTGTACAATATGTAGTAAATAAAATATAAAGATTACCTGATTTAAGAGGTAGTGTGTGATATTTCTTTGGAACAAATGAATCGGCATCTAAAAGGTCTGAACCTGTGTTTCTTTTCATCTCACTTGCTTTAAGTTTTTCTTGTAGCTTTCTTTTTTCATCTTTTAAAACAGACAGCTGAATCTAAAAAAAAATATATTACATAAGTACCCAATAGAACTTTATAATGTATCTATATTTCAAATTCCATGAATAGTCACTTAGATCTATAAATATCAGTGAAATATTATTGACTGTTACTTCATTTAAAACTAAATTAGAATGGCTGTACCCATGGTAATCCACATGCTAGGCCGACCCAGTCAATGTTGCGAGTTGTGAAATTTTATAAATTATCCCTTCCTCTAGCACCCTCTTTTTGACAATAATAATCTTCTAATTCTCCTCCCACCACGATAAAGGACTCCAGCAGATTTTACTGAGCTCTTTATGTTAACAACGTTCTTGTCTTCAAAGAGGAAAAACCAGCTGTGGGTTATGTATAGTGTAGCAAAAGAATTGCTAGTATATTTCAAGTAGATTTATAGAAAAATCTACTGTCCCTAAGGAGACACTGATGCCATTATATGGTTTGTGTTTAGTTTTGTGTTATGTTGATGTTCACAAGTTTACAAGTAAAAGGTATTTAACAAGAAGTTATCATTCACAATATTTCCATTCTGCATATACAACATTTAAATATGAGCTAGAAATTGTAATGAAGTACTTTACCTGAAGAACTGGAATGGCTTTAACTTGTTCTTCTAACTCTTTCATTCTTTCCAAGCTCTGAGCCATCTGCTCTCGAATGTTCTGAAATAAAAAAATATATCACGGGTTAATATTCTATGGTTTGATAGAACCTAGGTTAAATCACTTTGATAACTTCTAGTTCTAATCACCACATACTCGTTTGAAATTAAAATATTTTAGCAATTAGTTAGAGGCATCATTTTTGTACAGGTACTATGGAAAAGGTATTATTAATGTTAATAAATGTTTAGTTTTCTCATTGACATGATAATATATTTATTAATTTGATAAAAAGGTACTTAGTCACGCTATGTGTATTTCATTCTCTGCTAATATACAAAAAGATACAAAATAGGGAAAAAAAATTATCTTACTGCCAAACTAATTGCGAATTATTAAATTGGGGTTAAATTGATCATTGTTTGTATGTCAAAGGCTGTATGTTTTAAGTCTGCCTCTGACAAAATAACAATGACTAATACAGCTCTCAATGATCACAACTAGGCTAGAGTACCGGAAGTCCAAAAACTAAACTTACAAATTGTTCCAAGAGTCACTTGGTATGATATCCCTTGGAATAATATTCAAATTAAATTTAAACTTTTTATAGGTAAACATTTTTTGTTAACATCAGGATTGTACCTGGAGAGCAGATGCGCTGAGGCCAGACGAGTTATTACCATTGTCCAGGTCCTGGTCTTGGGAAGGGAGGTAGAAGGTGCTTCCGACTGCAGCAACATCTGTAAAAACCAATCATGTGTCAAAATCTCAGTTTCAAACTGGACCCTTGTTTTGTATTCAATTACTAAATACCCCCGCCACAGCAAACCTGCCGACTAAGCGAATTTCCATCTGTCTGAATTGATTTTCAGTTAAATATATTTTAATAACATTAGGTTTAACGAGTACCTAGGTTTGCTGCTACAAGGAAACTAATAAAGTGTGTTTTTGAGTAAAATATTGATAGCTTAGTACAAAATAAATAAATTTGCCAAGTTTGATCAAAATATATCTATAAACAAGCAAACTACAACATTTGACAATATTCTCCATAAGAATAACATGGGAATTTTTAATTTACAATTTTTTTAATTTTCTCCGTTACTAATAATCGAACAAAAATGCTTTTATATACTAAATTATTTGTTTTTTTAAGCTCTTTAAAAAAGTCTAAAGAGAAATCGGGAAATTTTGTGTTTTGAGGGTCAAAAGTGAGAAAAACCAATTTTTACCCCATAAAACCCCCTGTAAAGCCCCGTTCCCATTGTCCGATCGTGCTGGTTCACGAACTCATTCAAGTTTATCCCGCTTTACACCTTTAAACCAAATTTCATCAAAATCGGACAAAAATTACTCAAGTTATTGCGTTTACGGGCATATATATATATATAAGTCTATATATCTATACATATATAAAAATTTGAACGAATGGTGTTTTTGGCCTCTGGGGACATCAAAATGAAAAAGTAAATCGGTCCCGGGTCTAGGTCTTACCATGCCACCTACGGTAATAGCTACGTCCCTATAGGGAAATTCGCTAAAAAGGGTGCTGATAACAGTGGTGGCTCTAGAGGAGGCTAAGGGGAACTTTAAAACACCACCATGTTTGATAGAGTCAACCTTTTGAGGGTTTGCAGCATCATTTTCTTTTTCAACCCATGCTTACATAAGAAAAATTTCCTCATGCTCCTCGTGGGAATTTTTCCCCTTTATGAGATTAAAAATTATAGTTTATAAGAAAATTGGGTTTTTATGAGTATAAAACCTCATAAACTTGTAATAACTTTAAAATTAAATGAAATGAAAATCCTTCTTCATTATTTTCATTTCATTTCATTTTATTTAATTTTATTTAAATTCATTTAATTTCATTTCATTTTAAACTTTATTTTACAAACAATTACATTAAAATAATTGGTTTGAACATGTTTAAAAAAGCAATGAAAACAAGTTGTACAACCAAAAGTCATGTTTCACAACAGTGTTCCTGACCCATGTCAGAAAGATCAAAGGAAATTTGTGTTTTATAAAGTTTTGATGCACATTTGTTTGATGTCCACAACAAACATCGAACTTGTTTATCAAACGAGGTTACAGCAAGTCTTTCTTTCACTGGGATTGATTCTCTGAACAGGATGTTTTCGGAAAGTAAATAAAGATACGTCTTATAACACTTAAAACATATATTTACGCTTATACTGTTACTCACAAGACAGTAAAAATACAAAAGATGGTAAGTGGTGATCGATTTCGATTGGACCCCCCAATCATCATCAGACCCAATAGGCGAATGATTCGCCTATTAATGTATGTAATTTCGCCCATTCGCCTATTGGGTCTGATGATGATTGGGGTGTCCAATCGAAATCGATCACCACTTACCATCTTTTGTATATTTACTGTCTTGTGAGTAACAGTATAAGCGTAAATATTAAATATATGTTTTAAGTGTTATAAGATGTATCTTTATTTACTTTCCGTAAATTTAATAACACGTACAATGCTGATCAAGAAGTTATTTAGATGTTTTCTTCTAGATTTTTCTCATATAAGGAGAATCAAGTACTCAAAGTCTGCACTTATCATTCTTAAAAAGTTTTTGAAGATGTACCATCAGTCCTCAATTTTCCCCAGCCAACAAATCTTTGTCATCTCGTTCAAAATCTTGTAATATTTCACTGCCAAAGTACTTAATCCTAGCTTGCAGTGAAGGACGCACTGGTACCCAAAAAGGACCAAAAGTTATGCTTTGCTATTTTTTATTAGCACAGGAAATTACAACACTAGCAGTAGCCACAAACAACAGATCCTCATCACTTGAAGCAACCTGGTAACTTTTGGTTTCTGGGCAAGCTCTTACAAAAATGTTTAAACATACTTTTTGGCGCATACATTGTGTTGCAGAACAAAAGTTTTATACACACAAGGTAAAGTTTAACCAAACAAAAGCTCAACTAAATATGTTTGACGAACAAAAGATTAAAAAACAAGTCGTATATAGTGTAAACAGGGCTTAATGGATGTCTTATATGTACTGATTAAAAATATATTAAACCGTTCAAGGTCTTTTCTAACACACTGTAGTATAGGGTGGAGTTTTAAGGGGTCAGCATAGGGTTTTCCCATTTTTGCCTCTAAAAACACAACATTTTGCAATTTCTTTGTAAACCATTTTGTAGACCTCAAAAAATCAAACAATTCGATTCATTCAAAGTTATATGTGCGCCGAATGATTAGAGAGCAAATCCCAAAAAAAACTTTTAATTTAGGTAAAATCTTCATGTTATTCTTAGTTAACCGTTTTAGTATGCTTGTTTATGTTAATTGTTTTGGTTAATTTCAGTACATTTATTTATTTCATATCAAGCAATTAAAATTTTGCTAAAAAACACACTTTATTACATTCTATGGAGCATCAACATAAGTACTCATTTAACATAATATTATTAGCCTACATATTTAAATAGAGAATAAATATGACATGTTTAATGAAATGTTTTAGAGAAACTGATCAGGCAAATGGAAATTTGCTTAGTCAACAGATTTGCTACCGCTACCGCTTAGTCAACAGGTTTTCTACCGAAGTATTAAAGTTGTTTTTATAACCCACCACTGTAAGGCATAGTATCAACAAGTTTAACAACTGTTGTCATTTAATCTTCAGCTGATTTAGTACACATGTGCGGTGGAAGTATCTTAGGAATATCTCATATGTTATCACATTTGATTCAACCTCAAGTGTTATCTAGCCAACTTTGCCAATACCCATTTGTAAGGTTATATACATCGATGGTATTAACATGACTATAACAAACTTAATATTCAACAGAATCAATACACATTTTTCTTTGAGAATAAAAAAAAAAAACTGTTACAAGAGAGAGGGGTGCCGAGATTAAGAAACATTTTCCCTTCCCCGCAGCCTAAAATTTAAGAAATTTATGGTTAAATCTTTATCATATGAAGTGCACTAGGATTAATTTGTGTGTTACATCGTGATGAATAAAAAAGACAGTGTTTTTTTTTTTAAGTTATAGGATCTGGTATTTTACAAAAAATAATTATATATTCTATTATTTACTTTTTTAACTAAATGAAGAATCTTTTTCATAAATTGGATAAATCTTTTTGAAGCAAATGGAACTAACAACAGCCTCCAATTCCGGGCATAACTATAATACTAGGTTAAAAATTAGATTGCCTCAGCATAAATTAGAATATACAATGAAAACCACTTATGCAGGATTGAAATTGTTACAATATTTACCAATAAGCATCCGGCAGGAGACAAATTTCAAAAAATTCAAAACACTTTTAAAAGATTTCTTAATAAAAAATCCTTTTTATTCATTACAAGAATATGTAGATAAAAAAAATATTTCATTTGAGTTTCCATTTACTAGGACATTTGCGTGGATTTATGTTTTAATGTATATGATTTATCTATAGATTTTGACTTAATTCAGATACATGTATGTTTTATATATGTTATAATTTGAATAAAGACTATTTGAATCTTGAACTAGTTAAATATAAGCATTTTTACCTGTGAAGGTCGAAAATATTCAACAAAATGGACAGAATTGATAAATAAACATCACAAATGCCAATATTTCAGAAGATAATTATGACTAATGGATGCTAATAGTTTTGTTTGTTAAGGAAACAATAACTTAATAGGGAAGTAGCTTTCTACAAAATCCCATTGCAGAGTTTTTTTTCTAAACAATTCTAAATACTCCATTTGTATAAAAGACACATTATACTATTTTTGAAAATATAGTAATATCAATTTTTGAATAGCATATTGTTGCATTTGGGAAAATGTTGTTTATGTAAAACGTTCAATGTCTCTTTTGATATCTAAGTCTTATTCTTCTATTCTCTACACTAATTTATAATTATATAAAAAAAATTGTTTCTAGTGTAGGAGAGTGAGTCCAAAAAAACACTAAACATAAAACAGATAAAAGAAGAGATTGGCAGGCTTGGATAGCTTTTTCATGTTCAATAATTTAATTATGTGTTTATCACAGGAGTGCAAAGTTAAATATTCATCACTCAAGTTGCCTAAAACACTCTATGTAAATGATGTGCACTCCTAAAGACAGAAATCAGAAAGAACAGTGAGACTATGTAAATCACATATCTCTTACTAAATCTAAACCTAGGAACCGTCCTCAGAGAATTTTAGTTTTCAATATTTTCTCTATGGGTAAACCGTACCACGCTACTGACACAAACGTATATTCCTCTCATATCAGATTTTGACTAATACTTTATCATTAAGTCATAGGAAAAGAATAAATAATCTGTTTAGTAGGTATTGTGGAACATTTACCTTAAAAAGTTTGTGAAGGATGTATTCGGACTTCAATTTAATTTTGCCCTGTAAAATAAAATAAACAGTTTGCCGAGGAAAACAGCGTGAAGCCGATGTTTACACAATTGTGTCATTGTGTCTGATAAGCCTTAATGATGTCTACTTTCACTTAAGGTTAATGAAAAACGTGATTGAAGGTATAAAAGAGTATTTACTGTACTGAGCAGTGAGCAGTCAATCGGAACAAGGAATACAATATCTATTTGTTTACTATTTCCACTTAACGCTTTCCTCCCTTCAGGTTTTAAAATGTCTCAAATTCAATTATCCCTACTCCTTCGTCCTTAAAACTATTGGTTAGTATTTTCACTAAACATAGTATCGGACTGTGGTCTAGCATTTTGCTCTGTTAGCCAA